ATATCTTACTACTTTATTCAGCCAATCAAATGCTTCTGTTTCTCGCGAAGAATTGATTCTTCATGGTGAAGAATTCTTCTATTTCTGAAATATTTAACGGTGTCTGATTGGTTCAGTAGACAGTTATTATGGGTGTGTTTTCATTGGTTTTTGTTTAGCACACAAAAAGAAACTATTCAAAGCCACGTGCTGTTTACAATGATATTTAAACTTTCTAGGCCTTGCTGCACTTTTTTTTCCACTGTAATCTTTTGTCGCCTTTCTGAATATTATTTTTTTTTTCACATTTCGGTACATACAGAAAATACAACCATCGTCATGTGTATAAGAGATGAACCTTGTTTTGAAAACAGATTTAAGTCACAATTTTACATAACAACTCCCTGTGGCCTAAGGAAGTCCCCTATTTATTTTGAGGTCAAAAGGTAAAAGTTCAAGGTCGTTAGTTTATCCATTCTGTCTGTGTGTAACACTATCCTTTCCAGGCGAAATTTCAAGAGGATTTTGAGCTTTTGCAATGTAATTTTATACCAAAACTCCCTAGGACCTCTCTGACCCCTCTCAAAGTGTCCCGCCCCGTTTGTTTTATTAATATTTAATGTATTACATATCGCTATTTTTAGCACAGAGGCATGAGGAAAGTTATTATTTATAAAACAGGTTCTCGGCGGACTTTATATTCTTATTACGTCTATTAGAACTGTTTAATAAAGGTTAAATTAGACAATAATAATAAATTTTGACAATGTCGAACGTGAATATATATATACAATGTATATACATGTATTTGACTTCATTTTTGCATATAATTCTCGGTAGTCAATACCCATAGTGGTGTAGTGGCATGTCTCTCGCTTCTCATGTGTGAAGACCCAGGCGCGGATCCAGGAATTGAAGTTAGAGGGGGCGCCAAAAGTAGGCAAGGGGTCTGGAGGCCGCCTTGAGGCCTCCAGTGGGTCCAGGGCAAAGCCCTGATGGGTCCCAGGGGGCGAAGCCCCCGGAAGCTTCTGGATTCTAGAGATTTTGTAGGGTAAAAATGAGGTCTACCAAGTATACATATTTACATTTTCTAGACGAAACTGTGATTTACGTTAATTTTTACAATTTTAGGGGGGGGGGGGGGCCCCCCGGGGGCGCCCCCCTTAAATCCGCCACTGGGACCCGGATTTGAGTCCCAGGCGATCCATTTTCTTTTTTTTTCCCGAAATACTTTTTTTTACTAAATGATAGTATTCAGCATGTGAAATGAAAAAATTTATGAGGTCTGGCTTGTACAAACTCATAAAATCATCATTACGGTATGAAAATTTTTCCATATTTATAAAAAGAATCTTCTATACAAATAATAAAGAATAGCAATCAAATCTTTATATCCATATTGGCATATTTTATTTGCTTCAGTATACATGTATACATTCAATAATTCTACAAATTCAGTCAGGGGGATCCGACCCCCCCCCCCCCCTCCCTCGGAGCTGCGCATGGTTTACTTTTTCCCTAACCGGGGGACACAAATTATCTGAATTAGCTTGTTTGTAAACAAATATTGAAAGGGTATGGAAGGATGTATCTCTCATCATTTTTAAAAAAAAATGGTACGAAGAACCCCTCTGTATGAAAAAGTTAGTTTACCTACTTTAAATTTCGGAACATATATTCTCAAAAACTCCAAGTCCATGCAATTGCGTGTTTGCTATTCATATAGAGCTGTTTGTAATTTAAAGGGCATTTTATGTGCGACTTCGTATATATCCTATAAACAAAGTTTTCAAGATATAGAACATTTTGAATGCATTCAGTTCAAGACTACGTTACACGATTGAAATGTAAACAAGCATAGGTAGAACAGCGCGATATGGCTTTTCTGTATGCAAAAACAGTTAAAGGGAAAGGTAAAGCGTCTCCCAACCCCCGAAAACATATTTGATAGAACTATTAAAATGCAGTATGAAAAGCATCACATGTTAAAAAATACTGTTACGATAACCGCAAAGTTTATTTTATATAGATATTGTCATTTGGACAGTGCTGTACAACGTTTAAATGTTTAGGTAAATCGTACGACTATGAAATTTCCGATATGCTTACAGAGCGACAAAATCTGTGTGGGCATATGACTCGCCTAATCCCCCCAGATTCTTTGTACACATATTTTTTGCATTTTACAGGTGTTTTTTTTTTCATTTTAAATTTGTGGTTTTGTGCAGTCCGTTTCTCAGAAACTGTTGCAAGGATTTATCTGAAAATTTGTACACTTATTATTCACCATATGAAGGTGTGTACCTGAAATTTTCAACTTTATTTGTTGATTTTTCTGCATTTTACAGGTTTTATTTTTTATTTTAATTGACTTGTTCAATTTGGGTTTATGTGTAAGGTTTGAGACATGGAATGGATCTAAAATATCTGTACAAAAATGTGAACTACAGCTCAAAACTACTCATTAAAACTAAAAAAAAAAAGAAACATCATCAAGTGTTAAAAACAGTTTTTACATTACACAGAAGATAATGTTAATTCATTTGCCTCTTGGGAATAATGACTGGACTTGCATCCAGTTAAAGATAAATTAATGAGTTTGGTGTGGGAAGTTGTTAAAGCATCTCTTATAAAGCATTACATGTGTTATCTATAATCTCCTGGGAATTTGGGACAAGAATTAAAGATCTTTCTTCTCTAATTCTCTTAATTGTAATTTATTCTCTGTCAAAGCACTTAATTACTGCATGACCAGCTCTTTATTTTCAAAATTAATTTGATATTAAGTTCTCAAGATTAATTTGATTTTGTATAATATTTTCAAAATTAATTTGATATTAAGTTCTCAAGATTAATTTGATTTTGTATAATATGATTTTTTTCAACAATCAGTTTGCAGAGTGGCATGACACATAGTTGCAATATATTTTTTCAATGAAAAAAAATGTTAAAATGTATTAGTCAGATGTTTTATTTGGTTGCACCTTTGTTTCATTCATTAAAAAATACATTGAGCAATTATATTTTCACTGTAAATTTCTGTAAGAAAATTGTGAACACCTCTTAGATCCATAAAGTATTATATTGGTGAACTGTCACCTTCTCTGAAAAACCCAGCGGGGGGTATTTGTCCCTATTGGACAGTTCTAGTTTTCAGTAAATTTCCGGAATTAAAGAATGACAGCCCTCTTCTTGTAAAAGTAATTGTCTAAAAAAGGTAGAAAGCTTCCCACTCCAATTCTCTCTCAACTCATGGATTATAAATAAACATAAATATAAAAAATGGTATGAATTACACCTACTTTTTATAATCATATTGAATTTATTAATTATCAGCATCTCTAAACCAAGCAAATTTCTTTATTCAGTAACTCTGAAAATCTGTTTAACTAGGTGCTTTTGCAATTTATTTCACATTGTTTAATTAAATTGTTACTTTATACTTTATATGAAAAAAGTAGAAATGTATTTTTATAAAGCAATTAATCTCACAAAATTACTCAGTGATTAGAGTCTAAAACTAAGTTCCTTCAAAAAATGGACCCCAAAAGTTCTTTGCAACCGTACTGGCATAATAATTTAATAGTTTGATCCCTCCATCCTTATGATGTAGTACCTCACCAATATTTTCTCTTGTATTTGGTTTTCAGATACTTTTTAAAAAATTAATCTAACAAGATTATAAAATCTAACCAAATGACCACAGGTGAGGAGATTTTAAAGAGTACAACAAGTAGTATTCACAGTTTTGGAAATATTCGGATGTGGTATTGAGCAATTGACAGGAATGAAATTTTTGTCCTAAAGAAAAAATTACCCTCTAACTGGGATTCGCTTGTAGGTCACGAAAATAGATTAAAATACTAGTTTCGGGCGTGACAAGACTTAAAAGCATGTGTTATTATTTTATAACTTTACATAATAATTAAGTTGATATTTCGCAGAAAAATGACGAAGAACAGGATACATGCAGTATATAAACCAGAAAACCTAACACCTGAACACTTAATTTCTCCGGTCATCAAAGTACGCCTTAATAATGGTAAGATTAAATTGATTGCTCAATACATGTTTTTTTTTATTTTTGAAATGATACAGTTTCTGTTTTATTTGTTCAAATCATAAAGAACTGCGAACGGTAGTATTGTTCTCCCGCCTACCTCCAAGTCGATTTTCAAAAGTTAACATATTCGATGAATTCTTAATAATTTTTTATAGATAATTATATGAATTTTCATAAAACTTTTTTATTTGGGGAAAACAGAGAGATAACTCTAAAATTTTGGTAAAACTTGTGTTTTTCACTATAGAAATCAACGGAAAACGGAATATATTTTTAAAACATCTCCCCCCCCCCCCGTGGGCACAAAAATTCCTTTTTACAGGTAATATGGACTGTTATTTTACAAATTCATACCAAAGCTTTTTGTGTGTCACGGGGGGGGGGGGGGGGGGGGGTGGCATATGTTTTTCGACAAAAAACGACAAAATGGTTATAATTCCACAAATTTCAAAGCGATTGACAACTGAAACATTATATTTTATTAATATATTAATGTTTTATTTATTTGACTAAAACATATCAAAAGATATAAGGAACAATTTAATCATATCCAAGACTATTTCAAAATATGGTGATGCATGAAAATCCGATTTAAATGGTAAATATCGTCTACCCCACTTTTTTCAAGAGCTGGAATTATGTATAATTTACTATAGAGCGCTGGTATTAAGACAATTCATCAATTTCCATTGAACTGTTCTTTATATTAACCAAAGATTTTTTGGCCAAATTGCCATTTATATTGATTTAAAAGGTTCCAAAATGTAGGCGGGAATCGAGAGTTAGCGTCCATATTTCTTAAACCTATTTAATAAATTTATAATATTCTGACATTGTCTTGAACATAGCCTCAAGAAAACATTGATCTTAGGAAGTACAATTAAAATGTGTATGGTATTAATTCTGTGTAACTTTTATGCTCAGTCATTTTTTAAAAGATTACTCTATCTTATTTTAGGCAAATGTTCTTCTATTCCTTGCCCTCGTCATATTCGATTCAGCGTTTGGGTTTAACTGTGTAAAGGACGAGAACGATTGTGTTGGTAGCCTGGATATCGACTACGCCTTTACAATGATTGACCCCTTAAAGGGACCAGTCTACGCCAAAGACCGTTCTCTGTTCACTGTTGATGGTGACGAGGAAGTACCGATAGAAAATGTGAATACGGCAGACGGATGGAACTTGACAACTACAAACTTACTGACTGCTAATGGTAAAATGCCAGGACCCAATATTGTCGTTTATCAGAATCAGAAAATTACTATAAATGTCACAAACAAGCTGATGAACGAGGCTATTACGCTACACTGGCACGGTATTGACCAGTTTGGATGGCCTGCAATGGACGGAGTGGCGTTCGTTACACAGTGTCCAATCTTACCAGGACAACATTTTATATACACATTCCAGCCTCGCTACGCCGGTACTTACTGGTACCATTCCCACGTAGGTATACAGAGAGAAATAGGGTTGTACGGGGCCTTTATAGTTCTCAGAAGAGACGATGATATTCCTACAGAAAGACAACACATTATGCAATTACAGGAATGGAACCACTTGTACGACCCTGTCGCTCGGTTTAAAGCTAATCTACAAGGCGCTGGTAATGATCAAAAGTCTATCCTTATCAATGGAAAAGGAGAATTCAATGGCAATAATGCAC